GCGGTGGAAACACCTTTGCTTCAGATTTGGGTTTGGTGAGGCATGTGAACATTTGCGCCGTTAGTCAAGTGGCTTTTAATGACCTCGAAGTCAATAAACGAATAAATATTTGATTGGGTAGCCAAGTGTCTTTAACGATTTGTTGCTGCTTTGTAGTGAAAATTTGTCCCGCTTAAAAGCTGGCAAAATCAGTCGATGCCTTTTAGGTTATTTGACATGCGGCTCAAGAAACGAGGTCTTTCGATTGAGGGGGTCTTATGTGTGTATGCAAGGGCTCACTGTATGTAGGGCATAGTCAAGTATATTGAGACTTAGCATGAGCTCGTTCTGCCTCAGTAATCAGCACTTTATTAGACCTATATTTTTTGCAAACGATGCTTGGATTCCGAAACCGGCATTCACATTTACACAGTTGACAAGGTTGTTGACTAACTGTGCGCAAATGGACTGTTTGGAACTCGTCCTAAGCAGTGCTTCTGTGATATGGTGCTGAATCGAGTCCATATTTTCCAGACGTACCTGTCAGAATTTTGTGTCCCAAATATCTATAATATAAGCGTTTGGAAAGGAAACTAATTATTCAAATTATATTTTTTTTTAAATATCGCTAGGACTCAACTTCCCTACTCGTGCCTTAAAGACTTCGCCACAATGTCATACCAGCTAGAAGTCAACTCAACTAGGAATTTTGCTCCAACTTTAGTCCCCCAGTTGATTCTCTCTCTGTCGGTTCTATCGATTTTATTCTCCCAGGACACGTAGCTCAAATTTTCCTACCCTAAAAATTTTAACAGCAATTCCTTTCATTTACTTTGGAAATCACAGGTAGTTCAAATTTGCGCGCTCTCTCGCCAAGAGTTATGCCAAATTTTCTGCTTTTATTATATCGCATAACAAATTTATCCACTGAAACACTTTTACCACCGCGGAAAGGAAGACGTACATCACCTGTCGTTGCAATACAATGCTTTGCCGTTTTTTTGTTTTTTGTTTTCTTTTGTTATTTCCTCATGCCTTTGATTTCGCATTTTACCTGTGCCATATCGAGATCCACCTTTCGGTCCTATTGTAGTTTGCCATGCAGCACGCACCCAATTTGCCGATTTTGACCTGCTGCCTTTGGCATTGTGTCCGTCTTTATTTCCAAATGCCTTTGAATGTTGCCATGTGCGCAATCTCTTATTTCACTTTTTTCCAAACGGTTTTCCAATTATCTATCGTTTTTTGTTTTCCAAGTATACGCACATACATATACATATGTATGGATTTTGTTTTGAAAGTAGGCAGTCCATCTTCATCGACACGACGTTTCAGAGGATTAGGATTTATACCAGCTTTTGTCTGTTTTCAAGGGTATCTAAGCACCAAGTGCGTGTGCGTGTGAACGTCTGCCGAATTCTGTACATGTGCATGGACAGGTGGCATGTGGCAAAATTGAGATGTACTCATACTTTTTGCATATTTTTTATTACTTCTCTGTGATTTGCTTGCTGATTTAACAATATTCTTGGTTAGTAAACTGTGCGTAAGTAGCTTTGAACCACGTGCGCGGCACGTGAATATTGTGTTTGAAGATCGATTCAGATTAAAAAATAATGGATTTGAAAAATGCCTTTAATAATTGGTACTTTAAAAATTTTAAGCAATGTTAAGCTCTATAACAAACGAAAGAGAGAAGGCTCTTTCATTTTATTTCAAAGTTTTTCATTTAATTTTATTTTATTCCGTTTTAGCTTATTTTATTTTTTTTTTGTGCTACTTTATTTTGTTTTATTTAATTTTGTTTTCTATTATGTAGTTTAATTAAATTTAATTTGATTTTACTTCATTTTATTTTATTTCTTTTTATATCAATTTAATTTAATTTTTTTTTTCTTATTTTAATGAAGTTATTTTATTTAAATTAGCAACTACATTATTTAACTTACTTTTATTGAATTCAATTATGTTATATTTTATATAATTTTATTTTATTTTTTTAACTTATTTTATTTATTTTACTTATTTAATTTAGTATAATTTAGTTTAATTTAACTTAACTTTGTTTAACAATATTTAATTAATTTGATTTTTAATTAATTTTACTTTAATTAATATTAATTTATTTTATATTAATTTATTTTATTTCTATTTTAATATCAGTTAATTTTTTTTTATTTAAATTAAGGTTTTTATTTAACTAAATTATTTTTACTTAATTTTATTCAATCTCATTTTATTTTTTTTTTTTTATATTTAAGTATGTATTATTTTGTTTTATTTTATATTATGTTATTTTTTATTATTTTTTTTTAATTAAGTTTTTTGATTTAAGTTAATTCAATATTTTCATTTTTATTATTTTATTTATTTTTACTTTATGTAATTTATATTTTTATTATGTGTTATTATAGGTTTTTTTTTAATTAAACTTAATCTAAATTTATATTAATTTATTATGTTTAATTTTGCTTTATTTCAAATTTTTTTATTTTTCTTTTTTTATTCTATATTTCTTTAGTTTTTTTTATTTCGTTTTACTTAATTTAATTTTATTTCATTTTATTTCATTTTAATTATGTTTTATCATTTTACTTTCATTAATTTAATTTAAGTATTTTTTTATTTTTTTTTAATTATTTTATTTATTTTTTGTTTTATTTCACCTTATTTAATTTTATTTAATTTTATTGTATTTCTTTTATTTTATTTTATTTATTTTATTTTATTTTATTTTTTTTTATTTTATTTTATTTTATTTTATTTTATTTTATTTTATAATTCTATGCTTATGCTGTCTGCTTACACTTTCTCCTCATTTCCAAAAGTCATAAATATTTTTATTACTTGCGGTTTTTGACGTCAATTCATGCACTAGTTAATTTTTTTTTTTTTTTGATTTTTTAAGGATTAAAGCGATGGCTCTTTTTTGTTGCAAATTTCTTATATGCGCGTTTTTTGTTTGCTTTTTTTGTAATTTCCTTACATCTTTATTTTGGTTTTTAGATTTGGCGTTGGGCTTTCAATTGTTTTTGTTATATTTAATTTTTTTTGTTTCAACTCGAAAGCCCACTTTTTGTTGCCACATTTGCCAAGAAAGGACTGCCTATAAGATTTAATGAGTTTTCGTTTTGCGGTTTCTCGAAAATGATTCTGAGGTGTAAAATTTTTAATTTAAATGATCGTTTAAGTTTTTTTTTACCGACGTATGCATATCAGTCAGTTCAGCGGTTCTGATTTACGCCCAGGCATAAGCTAAGCAACAGAAAACTTTCTCCAACTACGGTCCAGCTACAGTTGGCCGGAAGTAGTGGTGGGGCTACTCGATAGAGTTGGTGAAAGTATAAAACATTGCAGCTTAACTCAAATTAACTCAACTCATCCACTCTTTGACATGCAAAGACTAATAAAAAATGACCACACAACAACTTTGCAACAACATTTTAGTGCAAATTGGCATATTTAACCTTGTTTCGAGGCGTTACTGACACAGCATGTTGCAACAACAAAGCAGAAATTCGGCAAGTGATAAATGAAAGTGTGGCGCAAGAGGTTGCGCCATTGGCACATAGTGCCCAGAATATGTCGATGGCAGCTTCTTCCCTTCCACTATCCTTCTTCGCTCTATTGCACTCCATGGCTGGTTTTCTGCGTGTGGTCGTTTATGGCCGAAAAATCTCTTATTTTTCATCGAAAATACTTGCAAATTGGGCAGGTACTCAAATGAAGTAATTAATTGATTGGCTAACAATACTTGCAACACTTGCACCACGTGTTTGTTATCTTCATCTACTCATTGTTTTCACAAGTTAAGCAGGATATTTTCGGCATCTCAGGCATAATTACTGACCGTCAACAAGAGGCGTTTATGCGTGTGTGTGTGTTGCATGTTGCGCCCCCGTGGCGCTTCTTTGGTAATACTAAAATGATAAGATTAATTTTCGTCTTATCTTACCAAATATTTGACGATTTGAGGCTGGCTGGTGCAGACAAATTACAACTGCTCGTCGTCGAGCACATGCCATAAAATTTGGCAAATTAGTTGTTAGAAGAATCTAAACGAGGTAATTACATATCCGAAATTAGCCATTACTATCTAGCCACTTGCAACAACACTATTATGGGTCTCCACTCCAACTGTTTCTTTGTCGCGACAAATCGTTGATACCTCTGCAAGATGTTGGCCAATTTGTATCGTTTGTGGCAATTGATTAAAACCACACAGAGTTCAGCTGCACAGATTTACGTGAAAACGATGCAGTTGGCCGCAGTTTCTTTAGGTGATGAAGAGTTTTTCTTTCTAATATTTCTTCGGGTTCATCGTTTGTGGTATACCTAGAGGAATGCAAGAAAATTTTGATTAGAAAACCAAACGAAATATCTTTTTATAACACAATATATATATGTAAAGCACTTCAAAATGATTTGTCCTCTTCCTTATTCCATTTCTGTTATTTTCCAATTTTTCGCTAGCGCCCTCTTCTTTTTCCAAAATCTTACCTCAAAAGATCTTTTCAAATTGTCACATCTGAGAATCTCACGTTATGACTTCAAAAATGTGTTGCAACTAAAAAAAAGAAAAATATGAAATGAAATAAAAGTCATAAAATAAATGAAGAAAACTATTTAAAAATTTACATTCAATAAAATGAATAAAATAAAAAAAAATAAAAATAAACAAAACAATTAAGAGAAAAAAAATTAGATAAGATACGGTTTGAGAAGATAAAATAAAGTAATGTAAAGAAAAATAAATTGTATTGTGATAAACTAAAATAAAATAACATAAACTAAAATAAAATAAAATAAAATAAAATAAAATAAAATAAACCCCTGTGGGGTGCGTCCCTGGGTGGCGGATGAGGGAAAGCTCTATAGATATATAGGGTAGGTGGGAAATAAAATACCACCCGCGGACCAAAACTGGATAATGCAGTGGAGAGGGTTTACCTTTTTCGTGTTTGGTAAACACGCATACCACAGCCTATCCCATGAAGGCTAACCACCTCCTTGGGTGCAAAATGGTTCCACAATCTTTAATGGAAGCCTCGGACGAGTATCGCAACGGTCAGGGGCGATGCGGGACTCAACAGCCTGACCACCCAATTGACGGACCTGCAATAAACACTGATCAACTTACCACCTTGGATGTTTTACCAAGCCAACCTGTAACCACCAGAGCGGTTTCCCCTGGGCAACGCATGAAATGGACAAATGAAATGAACGAACACATCATGCGTAGCTATTACTTAATTACAAAAAACGAGACAACTAAAACTGGATACAGAACGCGACTACATGAACTATTCCAACGGAAATTCCCAAATATTCATGTTACAGTACAAAGAGTAGGAGACCAGCGAAGTGCAATTATAAGAAATAAATACATATCAATGCGAAAACTCAATGAATTAAAGCAAGAAGTAGCAAAAGAGCTCTCTGCTGAAGCATCAACCATGTCAGCAGTAGAAATTGATGAAATCATTTCACAAAATACTGGGGTCCTCTCAACAGAACCCGAAAATGAAATATTAAAAAAGCTCGAAATTGAATTTCAAACGGCAATGGTAGAGTTTTCTGGGACAGATCCAACACTACGCCCAACCATACCCAAACAAAAAGCAACAAAATCGGTGGCAATAGCAATTTCTATACTTAACAATGATATTCTACCAGTATATCTGTCTGAGCACGTCAGTACCTTTGAGGAGCTTCAAACAGCTATATATGCAGCAGCAATAACAATTACCCGTTACACTGGTGGAAAGCTATTTCCAAAATCGAAGGGCAAACCGGAAAAATCCGAACCTCCTTGGAAACACAGACTAAAGGCACAAATTCAAAAGCTTCGGGCAGAACTCGGAAGAGTAACCCAATATATTCACGGCAATCGTTCAAAAAATATTTTGAACTGGTATGAAAGCCTAAAAAAGGAATATAAAATACATTCGAAGCAAGATCCACCAAATAAGTATGCAGAAGAGCTTTTGGACACATTGCGTCAAAAGCTAGCGATAAAATGTAATCGGTTACGAAGATATACGTTATCTGACAAGAGAAAAACTGCAAATGCTGCATTTCAGAAAAATGAAAGAAGTTTTTACATGAAATTAAAGGACAATAAGACTACCGACACAGCAGAAATACCCACCAGCGCGCAAATCGAGCAGTTCTGGAAACCCATATGGTCTTCAAGCGTAGCACACAACACGAACGCTGCATGGATCTCAGAAGAATGGCAAAGATGCGAAAATATTAACACAATGGAAGATATTACGCTACACGAGTTGGACATTAAACAAGCAGTGGAAAATACCCACAACTGGAAAGCTCCAGGCCCTGATGGCATTCACAATTTCTGGCTAAAAAAGTTAACCAGTGCTCATGCTCTAATAGCTGACCATTTCTCAGCCTTCCTTCGAAATGAAGCTCAAGTACCCACTTTTATGATGAAGGGGAGAACTCATCTCCTACCGAAAGACTCAAAAAATACTGGTGATCCCTCAAAGTATCGTCCTATTACCTGTCTATGTACGCTCTATAAACTATTAACGTCCTGTATAGCAACCAAAATATATGAGCATATCAAGCATCACAACATTGTTGCTACCGAACAAAAGGGGTGCATAAAAAACAGCAAAGGATGTAAGGAACAGCTTATAATAGATTCGGTAGCCATGGAACAAGCTTTCCATAACCAGCGAAACATCTATACCGCTTATATTGATTATACTAAAGCGTTTGACAGCATTCCCCATTCATGGCTCCTTAAAGCACTGGAAATTTATAAAGTATCTCTAAATATAAGAGAATTACTATGTAAAACTATGAGCTCGTGGGAGGTAACTCTCAATTTATCACATAAAGATGGGCTTATAAAGACAGCTCCTATACCTATTAAACGAGGTATTTTCCAAGGAGATGCCCTGAGCCCATTATGGTTTTGTCTTGCATTAAACCCACTTTCCTCTATATTAAATGAAACAAACTACGGCTTTAATATAAAAGGATCACGTNAAATAAAATAAAATAAAATAAAATAAAATAAAATAAAATAAAATAAAATAAAATAAAATAAAATAAAATAAAATAAAATAAAATAAAATAAAATAAAAATTTAAAATTAATTAAAATATAATATTTAAATATAAACTAATTATTATTAACTATTTTAAAGGGGTTAATAGTTCAAATCGTAAATGTTTTTAATTTTAGCAAATGATAAATAATTCAATGTAGAAAAATAAAAGCTTTAAGCAAAGCAACCCATACTTCAAGTATACCCTTATGGTTATAAATAAAGAAATAAAATAAAATAAATCAAAATAATATAAAATTTAAAATATTATTATCAAAAAAGTTAAATAAAAAAAACTAAAATAAAATTTATAAATAAACAAATTAATATTAAAAAACGTTAAAAAAAAATTTTTTAAAATATAACAAATTAAAATAAATAAAATAATAACAGCAATAGAATAATATAAATTATAAGCTTAAATAAATTATATACCTTAATTAAATTAACTATTAGATTGCTGAAAGTTTTAAATATAAAGTAAAATAAAATGTTACAATATAATTTTTTTCTCTTCTCATCCTTAAAGACTTGATTATGATGATCCACTTAAAAGGTGCCACCGTCAATCTGGCGCTTATATTTACTGACAATTGGCACATATTTGCTGTCGACACCAGGCCTTCCAAATATTTGAGCCAAAGAAGTGCACCACAACAACAACCATACCGGAATACCAAATTAAAGTGAGGCAGTAATAAACAAAATTTAAGACGCTGTGGACATTTTTGGGTCGCCAAAAGACTAAAAAGCAACAACGACAACCGAAAGGTATATATTTACAGTTAAAAGTGGAAGCAATATAAATGTCGTTTAAAACAAAACATAAAGCTCAAATTCATGCACAACGCCAACTCCAACTTAATTTTCGAAACGAAATTCCTTTGCTCCTTGAAAGCAAACCCACATGCGCCATTCACTCGCCCGCTCATCAGTCATTGGGAAAAACTTAAATGAATTACTTAACAAGTGTGTTTTGCTGTTGCTGTATTACTGTTATTTATGTCAGGCTTACTGTTGCCGTTGTTGTTGTTGTTGTTGTTGTTGTTTTTGTGTGTAGTAGTAGCACTCGTAAAAATCGAAAATTAATTTTACACAATTCGTTTCCTTCAACTTGCCACTACCAATAAACATGAACAACCGCAGCCGCAGCCGTAGCAGCAGTCGGGGCAACAACTACAACAACAAAATTCCAATTTGTTCTCATTTCTTCAACAGAAACATTCAAACATATAAATGTTTTTAGTATAAATGTCCATGAAGCCTCGCCTCGACTGGCTGCGCCACGCCACGCCACGCACCAGCCCAACTCCAGCCCCGGACATTAATTTCTTATGTCGATTTTAGCCAACAGCGACAACGTCATTTAACGGCATTACCGATGCTGCTGCCGCCACCAATACCACCACTACCACCAGCACCATAAATGCCAACTTCGATTTCGATTTTATTTTCGATTTCATTGCATTGCGTTGCATTGGTTGGCGTGGCCCTGAAAGCTGGAGCCCGTGTAAACGCGCGCAAGTCCAAGTCCGACATTTTTGTGGATTTTTCCAAAAAGTAGGTGACATAAACAAAACCAAAAAATATAGAAAAATCTGTTCGATTGGCAAGTCTGATACGCTGTTAAGCGCCTTAACTCATTGACCTTTGCAGAGGTCGCCGAAAATTTAAATTAAAATACGCAGGAGTAGTTTGTAGTGATTTGTAAGTTACATACAAAAGTGCGTTCCGTTTGACTCTTTTAATTTTTGGAGTTTTTTTGGACAATGAAACGAGTGGTGGCCGTTCTGATATTTGGTCATTTACACTGAGAGAATTTTTCTCTAACTGATACTGGTGGTGGATTAGGCCTTGGGCAGAGTTCCGTTCAAACGGAGAGCCGTCAGCTTAAATGTATGATTTCTCAACTCAGAAATTGTTCCCGTGTAAAGGGTCGCAATTTTATTCCTGGGTTCACAGAGATGAAAGAAGAAAGCAATTAGAAAACTGAGAAAAGCCGTTCCGCGGACGAAAGGTATATAACATCTATGCTTTAATTGGGTTCTACGTTGACGTTGAAATAATAAAAGCAGTAATTGAACTGCTCGAGAAGAACACAATGACTCGAGCCAAAGATCAGACCGGCATTATGAGCGAAGACTGGAAGTATAAGGATATTTTTAGTATCTATTAAACTTTGGCAATTATGGTAGCATGACATCGCTTATAAGCTCTAATCTACCACAGCTGTGTGCTCTAATAAATCCAGTATGGACTAGAAAACTTACAAGAGGAAATCGATACCATCACACTCGAAATCTTTGGCAGGTGTCGACGTTGTCTTTGTCGCTATGTTAAGTTAAAAAACGGCCTTCTTGGGTTTTCCGTACAAACCGCAATAATCACTGACTAAAGATTTCATCGGACCCGAGTATATCTGAGTAGCTTTACTGTAAGCCCTCCTCTTTTGATGCCGTCTTTCTCAAGATATCCAGATATCGCGTAACGAAGACGAAAAACCCCTGGTATGTGAACCAAAACCAATCCAGACATACTGAGTATTTCCACTAAGTCAAAGTTATGAACTTATGTATACAGATAGATCAACCGGTACTGGTCCCAACTTGTGTATAAGGAACCATGATTGAAACAGATGAGACGACGGGATCAACCTTTGTTACTGTCAAGGAGGAAGAGGTTCTTATTCTGCTGATTACACCCCTTAAGAACTAGCAGAATAATTAAAAAAAATACTGCAACCGTGGCAAATAATACCGATAGCGCAAGCTTCCTACTGAGAACGCAGCTACCGAGCCGAGGGGTGTGGTTTTCAGTGTGAGCTCGCGAGTAGGTTTTCTCAGAAATACCTTATTACAATACTATTAATGAAGTCTTTAAAGCATGCGCTGCTTATGCTGGTTCCTCCATTAATTAGCATAATTAAGATAGACTTTTTGCTAATCTCGACTCTTGCGAAACATATCAGATCGTACTTTGTTTTCCCTCGATCTAACGAAATATAGTGACGATCCTGATATCGTATCAGTCAATCAGGCATAATTATGATCCAAGGTGTGGAAGGCGAAATGTCTTTAAAGTAATACTACAATATTTGCCGAGGGTGTCCGTCGTTCCAGCACTGTTTTAATTGATCAGGAGGTGAACTCTGCACAAAATGTATGGATACACAATGAAGCTCGATATATGGATCTTAAGCTGGATCTGATTTTTATCTGAATATCGGTGCTGAATCGACATAAAATTGACCAATTTCTAAACGTGTGGTGACTGGTGTTGAAAAATAGGGCACTTACAACTACGTCTAATAGAATAGAAAGACAGTACGTTGTTGTTGTTGTTTTAGCGGTTCGCTAATCCCGCTTAGGCAAAGATTTGAGCAATCTAAGTCGCCGAGGTCATCTAATGGGAGGTCCAGAAAACGAGCTGTTTCGACGGGGTAGATGAATTGGTTTGAGAGGGCATGTGAAGTGGTCGTTAATGTCGTGCGACAGTGAGTCGGCACAAACGGTCTCCCAGCCAGGACTGAGAGCCAGGAAGGTTTTGTTGTATGCTTAATGAGATTTCTAAGTAATCGTTCTCCAGAAGCTGCCCCCCTCTACTGCTGAACTCTAAATACGGACCTGTACTATCAGCAATTGGACAACATCGATATTGACTCATCAGAAGCTCTGGGAGCTTGGTTCGGAGGTTCTTATGAAGCCACCTGATTGTTCGGATCTCTCACCAAATGATTACCATCTGTTTCTGTACATGTCGAATGACTTGGCTGGTAAAGTATTGAACTCAAAAATAGCATGTGGAAATTGATTGCCTACGACTATGAGAGAATCATATTTACACTATCTTCAAAATGGGCCAGAGCAATCGAGCTAAACTTTGCAAATTTGACATTACTAGATTTAATATATGTCATAAATTTTTTTCGAATTTCGAAATTTGAATTCCCTAGAATATGTATATTTTATGCGCCAATAACCCCCAGCATCCCCATCCCCACTGCTTCCCAAAACTCAGCTTCAATTTCAACACCATCAAGCGGCGGTAAGCACGAATTTTCAACACCTCCAAAGTATGCATGTAAGTCACATTGTTGTTTAAAACAAAGGGTACGCTATTCATCCCACGCGCCCTCTTCATCTTTCACCAAGAACACTTGCTTGTAACACTTTCGTATCCCGCCCTTCTCTTCCTTTTTATCTCCACGAAGGCCTACATAATTCGTTGTAAGTTATGCTCGGCATTATGTTGCTTGTTGCATGCTGTTGGCTGCTACGATTGCCTCGTGGTATTATATGGAAATCATCGAAAAAATGGAAAAGCACAGCAAACAATTTGTTGCTGACAACGTCAAGTCAAAGGGTCAACGCTTGGAATCAAACACTTCTTCCTCTTCTTCTGCCTTTTATTTTTGGCGGCTGTTGGTTTGTGGTGTGAAATGCTGTAGGTGTGCATGTTTGTATGTATGTTTGTCGTTTTTATGGCACATGATCGTAGAGATTGGCAATTTGGCTCATCTGCATTTCACTCGCCGTTCGATTGTCATTCTTATTTTTTTTTTTGTTTAATTTAATTTTTGTAAGAGTGTAAATTTTTATACGATTTTTATTTTATTTTTTGTTGCTGGGAAATATGAACCTGCTTACTTGCTGGCTGCTGTCAGCGTCACACAATTCTTTCGCAACTTTTTCTCTCAAATTTAACTTTTTATTTAAGGCATCTTTGCAAGAGCCTTTGTTGACAATTGGGAAGCTTGTTGATGGCTACGTAAAAAATGGCACGTGTTGGATAATTTAAGTAATTTCAGTAGAAATGCTTACCTGCTTTCTTATATGCATGACCTCCAGATGGACATACATACGTGTATGCATTATTGTTTTAATAATTTAAGTATGATATTCAACCATTTTCTGATGGCCCAGAGCTCGCAACTTCAAAACAAACAGAAGGAAGGAGTTTAAGACTGGCTAAGCCATTGACAACTAATAATCTTTAATTCTATAAGCTAGAAACATAAAAAAATTTTTAGGGCTTTTAACAAAATCATAAATTATAAGCGTCAAGATACATTTTTTTCTCAGCCCTCTGGGAACCGATTGCTCTAAATTCGAGATATTAAGACAAGTATATTGTCCGTACTACAAGTATTACGTGCCATATCGTGTCATACTCTACGGTGCTGAAAACGTGTTTATTCGCGCTAAAAGTTTGTCTTCAACAGTTTCTCGATTAATTGAATCAGTATGTTGTGAGCGAGCGTCAGAGATGGACACCAGTAAAGAGCAAATTCGCTATATTTCACAATTTTTCTTCGATCAAGGCGAAAAAGTAGCCAAAACGGCTGAAAAAATTAGTTTAGTGTATGAGCCCGGCACTGTAAACGAATGTGTAGCACAAAAGTGTTTCACTAGTGTCTGCTCAGGTAATTTCGATGTCACAGATGCACCACGCGCCCGGAGGACTGTCGCCTGCGATAAAATCATGGAAATGGTAGAAACAGACCATCATGCGGGCACTTGTTTAATTGCTGAGGAACTAAAGATAAGCTAGAAAATCGTTTGGAACCATTGGCATAACTTTGAGTTCAAAAAGAGGCTTGATGTTTGGGTGCCACACGAAGTAACGCAAAAAACATGATGGACCGAGTTTTCATCTGCGAATCGCTGCTGAATCGCAACAAAATCGACACG